CCCCCCGCCCCGGAAAGCAAGGGGACTCTCACCTTCTCCTCGGTGACTGGGACTCAGGGATTCCCGTGGGCCGGGCCGGAGCAGGGGGCGCCTGGGTGCTGCCCCTGAGTCCGAGATGGCCCCTGTAACCTGCCCAGGAGGGGGCTGCGGAGCCTGGTAAATCTTATGGGCTCCGCCCGCTCCAGGTGAGGGGCAAAGCGCCCAGCGGGGCCTGACCCGGAGCCCTGCGCTTGCCCTGGCATGGACACTCACGGGGCTCCCGGGGCCTCCTGGGGATCTGGGTTTGCAGTAGGATCCCCAGTGAGCAACGGGCGGCTGGCCCCTCGGGGAGAGCAGCTCCGACAGCTGCGCCCAGCTCCTCTCCAGCCACCGCATGTCCCGCTCTAGGCGCAGTCGCGTGACACTTGCCAGCGGCGGGCTCGGCGACCCACACGCGGCGTCCCCGCCCGGCCGTCCCATGGTCCAGCCGCCAGAGACTCCACCAGGGTGGGGCCTAAGCGCCACCTCCTTGGCATCGGGACAGGCCGTAGCCCGGCAGGGGCGCGGCTGGCGGCGAAATCAGCACGAGGCGCTGAGCTCAGCGGCCGCCCCGGCACTCGGTGCTGATGCCAGCGCTGAGCTCGGCACAAGTGGCTCCCTGCGGGGAGGGGTTCCCAGACCGGTTCGGTCACCAAGCTCCCCGCGGCGGGGAAAGCCAGGAGCCCGCACCCAGCGGCTCAGCATGCGGGTCTGGGAGCTCCAACTTTCTAGCCATTGTACGGGGCTGGAGCCTGTCTGCCGGCTTCCTGGCTCGGAGCCTCTTTGATGTCAGGGCTGGCCCCCTGGGAGCAGGGTGTAGCTCTGAATCCTGGATCATCACTGCCTGATGCAGGCCTCAGTTTGACGTGATCTAACCTGTCTGGGAGCGCAGGGAGAGGTACAGCCGCTGTGGAAGCATGGCTCGGCCCCTCCCTCCAGGATGCAGAGTTGCTGGGACCACAGAGACTCGTTTTGGGGTTCAGCTCTGGGCCAGGCGGCAGAGACCAGTGTTCCCTCAAATTCTGTCCATCCGTGTGCAGAATACATTTTGTTCTGTGCACCAAGGCATGTGTAAATGTGCACCACCCTTACAAGTGCTGCTGCCAGCCATGGGTACACTGCTCATCAGCTGGGCAGCATGCGAATCGCTCCTGGCGGCCGCCCAAGCACTCGGCTTAGAGGGATCCCAGGCAGAGCCCCACCATGCTTGACACCAGGACACTCTGAGCAAGGGAGTTTCCAGCATTGCCTTGTCCTAGGGCTCAGGCACGATGCTCAGCCGGCCGTGCCACAGGAGCCCAAGTTTCATGGTGGCTTTTGGGGCGCAGGGGCCCAAGCATTCGGCTCCAGCCTGCTGGGATTTGGGAGCAGCTCTTCCTTAGCCGTCATGGCCCCCCCCCCCCCCCCCGCCGCGCCGGGCGGGGGGGGGGGGGGGGGGGGGTTTCCTCTCCCCCCTGCCGTGGAAATGGAGCAACATGGAATGGTGCAGGCGGCCAGACCTGGGAGGGAGACCCCAAATTCTCACTCACCCGAGCGGGCGGCCAGATCGCACAGGCCATTCAACAACCCTCAGCTCGGTCGGGTCTCCTCCCGCAGCCCAGCACCGGGCGCCACGTTCTGCACCAGCCTCCTGTACCACCCCTGCTGCTGGCACACCAACAGGGCCGTGCTGAGCCTGGGCAAAGCACGCGAGGGCCCCGGAGCTGAACACCGGCGGACGCCAGCACCCTGCCTACGCCGCCATCGCCAGCACTAGGGCTGGGGGAGCACGACGGAGGGCGGGTGGGGGCAGGGCCGACTGACTCACCCCCACCGCTCTCCGGCAGCCCGGCTTCCCAGCCCAGCTCTGCTCCTAGCTGGAGGCAGCCTGACTCTATTGCGTGGCAACCACTCGGCAAGTTGGAACTAGCGGCAGGCCAAAGCGGCGCGCCGAACAGGCTGTCAGCTACACCCATCCTCCGCAGGAACGGCCTGGCCCCCTGCCAAGGGAAGAGCTGCTGAGCTCTCCTCGGCTTCCACGGGCCAGCCCCAGCCGCAGCCCCTCAGCTCCGCGAGCCCACGGAACCCGGGCACCTTCCTTTCCTCTCTAGCTTGTGCTGGAATCCCTCCTTGGGCAGCACCCCCTGCCTGCAGGGCACCCGGGGTAGCGGCCTCTCGGTGCCACGAGGCTCGGCTCTGCCGCGGCTCAGCACCGGTGCCGGGCGCCTGCTGTGGGGTGCTGGGGACAGAAAAGCGGGACTGCGTAACAGGGAGCTGGCCCGGGATGAACGCTGGGGCTTCCCGCCTAGAGCAAAGCTGGAGCAGGCTGCTCGGAGAAAACCAGAGGCCATGCGGACACTGGAGCTGCTATGGCAAGTTTTCCTCTTGGCCTGGTCCAGTTCCAGCTACTCTCCGCAGTCAGCCCCCTGCCCCCAACCACAGGGCTTACTTCCCAGCCTGGGCTGGTGTGGAACGACGCTGTGCTGCTAACCTCGGCCTGTCCACCACTCCGGAGGGGTGTCCCTGGGTAGGGCCCTTCGGGGAGCCAGGCACGGCCCCTCCCCGCTGCAATGGGAGATCACTGCCATTCGCAGCGGCACCTGCTGGGAGAGGCACCACCCCGTTCCTGGTCTGGGAAACCCAAACGTCCCTGGATGGTGCCCCTAGTGCACACGCACCCTCCCCCTTTTGTTTAGTGCTGTTCCCACAGGCTGGACCCTTGGGATATTCCACTCGCTCGCCAGCCCAGGGCACGTCCACACGGCTGACACTTGGTACATCTTATCCCCACGCTGCTCCCGCCTGAAACCTGCAACGGGTCACCTCGAGCTGAAGAAAGCAGCATGTTGGGTGGGGTTGCCCACTGCGCCCAGGGTAGCCAGAGCGCGTGTTCACGGACGTGCAGGCCAGCTAGGACCAGCCCGGGAGAGGGCCCAAAAGGCTCCCACTTGCAAGACCTTCCGAAGCACTTTTCTACAGACACGCTGGACCAGGGGGCGTGGTCTGGTTGAGTGGCACCGGGCAACCCTGGGCAAACCCTCCTTTTGGGCGGAGCAGCGGAGTGCAGCTTAGCTTCAATGTCCTTTCCCTAACGCGTAAGCCCCCACCAGCCTGGTTTTAACCCAACAGATGGGTCCCCCCCGCCACCAGGCGTTTGCCACCGTTAAACACCAGCCGTTGTAAAGCACCAGTCCAGTAGAGCCGGCCTCACGCCCTCCCGGAGACGAGCCAGGCAGCTCTGGCATCTGGCGTAAGGCCCCTAGAACGTGGCCCAGGAGCAGAGCGGAGTGGCAGGCCATGCAGACAAGGACGGACACAAGGGGCTGAACAGCTGGGCTGGGAGCTGGCCATGGCTGTTGGGGCCAGGTGGGTTCTAGCTGCAGGAAGCCACGGGACAGTGGCTGGGGTTTCAAAGGAGTCTGAGCAGCAGCAGCGCTGGGCAGGGAGGGGAGTCAGACACTCGGCGCTGGAGACAGCCTGAGAAAGGGTAACAGACGCTGTTCCCGGGGCTCCTACTCCCTCGGCCCGAGCCCCGCAAAGTCCCTCTCCTCTGCGAAAGCTGCTGCTCCTCCACCCCCACCTATCCCCATCACTTCTCAAATGCAAGTCGGGCTCATGGCCCGCTGGGCTCTCTGGGGCACAGCCTGCTCCCAACACTCGACTTCAGCCTAGCGCCTCTGCTGGGGGCCAGCCCTCACGCACTGGCCAGCAGGCAGCCTGCCTGGGCCCAGGCTGCGCTCGCTCCCTGCCGAGCCGGGGGCGTGCTCAGGACTCCCTGGCCCCTGTGCAGCGGGGCAGGCAGTGCTGACCGAGCCGCGTACAGGGTGCGGGAAAGAAGCGACGCCGAGGACGACAAAGGCAGGGGTGGAAGTGCAGTTTTATTGGAGAGGGACAGGCAGGCAGCGGCTTCGGCAAGGCACAAATACACGAGGCACCTCAAGTTTGTCATTCGTCACCCGCTCCGAAGATTCCCTCGGCCGGCCGGCCACACCCAGCAGAACCCTGCGGAGCACGGCGCCACAGGCAGCAAAGGGGAGGGCGGGGGTACCTTCGCCCCGAAAACCAACCTCCGCTTCCCCTTTTAAATGTTAATGGCTGGCAGCCCCATCAGGCCCCAGGGCTGGAGCTCAAGGAGACCCGCTGTTACACCCGGGTTGGTGGAATGTGACAGGTGCTCTCCCACTGCAAGAAGATCACAAGAAATGTTGGGGGGGGGAGGGCCAGAGAAGGGGGATTTGTCCCAAAGCTGCCACGAGAGAAGACGGAAGACCAGCCAGTCCCCTTTGCTGTCGGACTCCAGGCAGAGCTGTCGGGAGCCGAGCGGCGTCTTACACAAAAGGGGGAGGGGTGGGAAAAGCGACCGTCGCTCAGGGGGCTGCAGTTCAGTTCTTAGGCTCTTCCCCGGCTTCTCCACCGGCTTCTCCGCCGTCTTCTCCCGCGCACTCCGCCGTCCATAGCGTAAGGTTGTCCCTGAGCAGCTGCATGATGAGGGTGCTGTCCTTGTACGAGTCTTCACTGAGCGTGTGCAGGTCGCCCATGGCTTCGTCGAACGTGGTTTTAGCCAGCGTGATGGCCTGCTCCGGGGCGTTGGCGATCTCGTAGTGGAAGACGGAGAAGTTAAGGGCGAGCCCAAGGCGGATGGGGTTGGTGGGCTGCATCTCCTTCTTGCTGATGTCCATTGCTTCCTGGTAAGCTTTCTGGGCGTTTTCTATGGTCTCCTTGCGGTCATCCCCGGTGGCTACCTCGGCCAGGTAGCGGTAGTAGTCTCCCTTCATCTTCAGGTAGAAGACCTTGCTCTCTGGGTCACTGGCTTTCTTAATGAGATGCTTGTCCAGCAGCCCCAGAACGACATTGCAGACGTCCTTCAGCTCCCCCTCCACCTTCTCGCGGTACTCGCTCACCAGCGGCGTTTTCTCGTCGCCCTCCTCAGTCTTGTGCTCGATGCTGGAGATGACCCGCCAGGCAGAGCGCTGGCACCCCACCACGTTCTTGTAGGCCACCGAGAGGAGGTTGCGCTCCTCGTTGGAGAGCTCGTCCCCGTGCTCCACCACGGCCTTCATGAAATCTGCCATGTTCTCATAGCGCTCCGCCTGCTCGGCCAGCTTGGCTTTCTGCACCTGCTGGTTTCTGGCCATGGCTGGGAGCACGGGTGGCAAAGCGGCCGGTTCGAAAGGGAGCAGGCAGTCACCTCAGGAGCCTTCCGAGTCTCTGCTCCGCTCTGCTGATGGGATCGGCTTTTGGCTTGGCGTCTCAGCCTGGAGCAAGGGCTGGGCGTGGCGGAAAAGCACTCAGTGAACCCCTCCCCCACTTCCTGCCAGACAGCACTCTCCTTAAAAGGCAAGCGGCAGTGATTCACCTTGGAGCGCAACGGATTCTGCACCTGCCAATGTCAGAGAAATCCATCTTCACGCAAGGCCTCCTTCCAAACAGCGTGCTTGGCTGTCTCTCCTCACGGGCAGCCCTAGCCCCCTTTTGGGCAGACAACCACTGGCGAGGCCAGGGAGGGCCAGCTCATCTCTCCTGCCCAGAGAAGGACCCTCCGGGGGGAATCTTGCCCTGCGGCTGACCTGCGCTTGGGCTCGCTCGAGACCCTCCAGCACTGAGATGGCCAATCCTGCAGCTTCCAACAGCCCCAAACGCCCTCCAAAGGCACGTTATCGTTTTAAGTGTGATTGACACAAACGCAGGGAGATTCCCCAGGCAGCTCCTCATCCCATTAGCGTCCTCAGTGGAGTCTGGCTGGGCACCACAGCGGCAGACGTGGCAAGAGGCCGTGACCAAGCTCCTAAACAGACGGGTGGCTGAGCAGCTCCAACATTATAGGGCAGAAGAAGCTCTGAAAACACTGGCAGGTCCCTTGGGCTCTTCCCCCAACAGCAGGTTAATCCTAATCCAGGGCTCAAATCACACCTCGCACTGAAGTCATTTCACTCCCTTTGAACTCGGACTGTGTTGCGGAGCTGGCCTCAGTTTCCCAAAGGATGCGCTTATGGACCAGATGTCAGAAAGAAGTCACCTTGTGCTTGTGCCTGTGCAGCCCAAAGCTGCCTACGGAGCAAAGGAGCAGGTTGGGAACGCCGGGCCGGCACTGGCGGGGAACAGGGCCCCATGACCGCCCCTTCCCTTTGAGGGACGGAGAGTCAGGGAGACCACAATGCTCTCTGGAAGCAAGGCCAAGAGTCGACTGACCGTGGGGAAGGGACGGGATATTTCAAGTACCCCCCCTCCCATTTTAGGAAGGGGCACTCGGGCAACTTGCCGTGAAACGCCTCCGCTGAGACACAGCACCACATCCCCCTGCAGACCTTCTGCTTTAAAATAAGAGCCTCTCAGGCTACTTCCTACCAGCCTGGCTCAGAGTGAGGGGCAGGGGACAGAGCTTAGGCCAGAAAGTAGGCAGAGGCTGGTGGAAAGGACGTTCTAAGACACAGGCCTCACCTCAGCCAATAGAAGCGGCCCTGCATTGTACCCACCCTTGGATTGCTGGGCCTGCGCCTTGCCCCAGTGACTGAAGACACTTGGAAACCCCTTTTTGCCAGGGCTCAGCTGCTCTGGGATCAGCTGCTGCCATTAGAATCGGGCTCTCCTGCTCTCCTGAAGTTTGTCTCTCCAACCGATCGAGCCTGTTCCTACTTGCCAGGGGCTGACTGCTCCACAGGCTGATGCTGCCAGGCAGCCTCCTCACTGAAACTTGCCTTAATCACTGGCCTTATCTGCTGGGTGGATGCAGCCCTGGGGAGGAGAGGGTGGGGTCGGTAACTCAGCTGTTCCCCTTTGCAGGTAAATTGCTCCAGCTGCCTGACTCACAACTACTCATCTGTGCAAAGCCACAGCTGAGTGTTCCCCCCCCCAGCTGATGCTGAGCTCTTGGCTGCAGAAAGGCCCTGTCCTGGCTGATTTCAATCCGGTGAAGGCAGACACCAGTTGGTGGGACCAGCGTGGCCTGGGGTGGCTCCTGCTCGCAGCCTGAGGCTGGAGAACTGGTTTTTAAGGGTTGAGAAAAGCCCACTACTGAGGCTTGAAACTGAGACAGCTGAGTGTTCCCCCCCCCAGCTGATGCTGAGCTCTTGGCTGCAGAAAGGCCCTGTCCTGGCTGATTTCAATCCGGTGAAGGCAGACACCAGTTGGTGGGACCAGCGTGGCCTGGGGTGGCTCCTGCTCGCAGCCTGAGGCTGGAGAACTGGTTTTTAAGGGTTGAGAAAAGCCCACTACTGAGGCTTGAAACTGAACACCTACGGCAGGGTGGACTGAGCACGGTACCTCTCTGGGCCCTGTAACCAGAATATCTGAGCCTCTCCCACCCGCTTTTCCCCGCCCCCCCCCCCCCCACACACACACTAGTTTCTAGCCCAGGGCAAGTATTTATAGTCTAGGGAGGGGTGGGGAAACTATGGCCTGGGGGCTGGATGAGGCCCCTGAGGCTCAAGACCCCCCCCAGCATTGGGGAGCCCACGCTGGCACTCCAGCCCCCCACCTTCCCCGTGGGGCTGGAACATGCAAACTCTTGTAGCCTGGGCCCCCAGGCTCTGGTGTAGAGGGGGATGTGGGGTGAGGCTTGCTCCTCCTCGTCTAGGGAGGGGTGGGGAAACTATGGCCTGGGGGCTGGATGAGGCCCCTGAGGCTCAAGACCCCCCCCAGCATTGGGGAGCCCACGCTGGCACTCCAGCCCCCCACCTTCCCCGTGGGGCTGGAACATGCAAACTCTTGTAGCCTGGGCCCCCAGGCTCTGGTGTAGAGGGGGATGTGGGGTGAGGCTTGCTCCTCCTCAGGCAGAGCTCACGGCAGTGGGGGTTGGGGGTTTTGTTTTTTGCTTCTCACTTGTGTGCAGCCCCCAACTGACCGTTCTGAGGGTCTGCAGGCCCCCCCCCGCCCCAGCCCAGTCTAGGACTCTGCCAGGCTAATACTGGTCGGATCTAGGTACTCGTGTGAGGCTGGGCCGGGAGTCCTAGAGGCTGCAGGGAATGATGGGGATGCCATAGCAGGGCACAGGGAAGCTGTTCCTGGCCAAGTCCTGGGAGCGCTAGGAAAGCAGCCAGCCATCTTACAGGCCCTGGGCCTGAGCTAGCGCTCCAGCTAAGTGCTCCTTCATGTCATGCCCCCTCCCTCTGTGGAAATACCCATTCCTGCCCCTTCTGGGGGGGAATAACTGTTCCCAGCCTGGGAAACAATGTCTCATCCATGCAGCCACTGATCTCCACTCTCCCAGGCAAGGGGGCAAGCGCCGGTCTCACCTCCCCCGCCCAGCTGTGATCGCACAAGGGCCATAGCACAGGGCCCACGCACACCAGGATTACACTGAAGTTTCCCCAAGGAAGCTCGCCCCAGCTGTGGGTCTCACATGGGAACCCTCCCCCATCTCTGTCTGCCTGGGAGTGCCCAGCTCTGAGGCCACACTTCTCAGTGGGAGATCTGTTTATCCCGACCATATCCCACGTCTGTCCCCGGGAGCGGAAGGCAGCGCAGGTCTGCAGCAGGGAAAGCTAGAGCCTGGCCACGCTCTGAATCTCTGCTTGCTCTCAGCTGGTGACCCAGATTAAAAAGCCCTGATCTGCCTTGGGCTGCCTGGGGCGTACGCCGCACAGCTGTGGCCAAGCCCCCGAGGGGCTGGGGGCTGCAGTGGAAGTGCACAGGCCCCTGTGGAGGGCAGCACCACGTGAACCTTCTCCAAAGGCAGCGGCAGCTACGGCCAAGCGAACTACATGACCTGGGCTGGGCCAGAGCACACACGTGTCCCAGCATTACACACTAGGGCCGGCAGCCTGTCCAGGGACTGCGCTTAGTGCGAACCCCAAGCCTGTTTGCCAAACTGTGGGAGCACGAAGCCGGCCGTCTCTTCGGCCTGACTCACGTGGGAAAGGACCCTGGGGACATGGTGCCGTCTGAAGTACAAGTTCAGCACTAGGCTCGGCAGCCTGCAGTTCCCCTCCCGGGGCCTGCCGGCTGTAAACGTTTGAAGCGCAACGTCCAGCGCGGTGCTCAGCCCTGCTGCGCTCCTCCGGGGCCGGCTCGCCCCGGACTGCCCCTTGCATCCTCATGCTGCAGTGGCCGGCTACCTCCCTGCGGGGCACCTGAGAGAAAGGCGGCCCCTGGAGCTGCGCACTCAGTCCGACTGAAAGACGTGAATCTGTCTATTAAACTAGCTCTGAACAAGGGAGGTTCGATAGTTTAGCTAGTCCTGTGGGAGGGGCACAGATCACCACCCGCAGGGCTGTCTCCTCCTCCCCTCGTGTGCTCCCTGCAGCAGCTCCCACACGGGACTAGTGCTGTGGAGAAGGCCATTTCCAAGAGCCCCGGACTAGCCTGCAAGCGTATGCAGGACACAGCCCCCCCACCCCCGAGCTCGTTTGAACCAGCCCATCCTTCCCTGCAAGAGCCAGAGCCCCCGCCTCAGTTGGGCAGAAAAAGCCAACAGGTCTGCACGGACGAGGTTTGCATCTGGGCAGGCTCCAATCAGGAAACATGGCGACAGTTCAGCAGACCTTTGATGCCTCCCGTTCTTGGGACCAAGCCATGTTTCACCCCCACCTTCCGGGGCCCCCAGCAGTGCCAAGCTGGCTTTAGGGTGAGGACGTTCCTGGCTTTCCGCCCCGTATGGTTAACACAGAAGGTCAGACAGACACACACCACATCTAGCGCTCCACCTTCATTCGCTCCACCCTCTCCAGAGAGCGCGCACATGCAGGGCAGCCGGGAGACGTCCCTCCTTGGGCGCTGGGGAAACAAGAGCCAGATGCCCATGTACAGTAAATAGGAGAAACTTTATTTTGTTACAAAAGTACAAGGCGTAAATGGATTTCACACCCGCCCAGCCTGTGCCTAGTTCTTCTGCTCAGTCCTTGGGCAGCAGCAGAGTCTATGCGGGGACTGCAAAAGCTGCTACTGACACGGCTACTGCACTTAGGACACCCAGGAAGGGGCTAAGACTCAACTGCAGAACATCTTCACACACTACCTAGGTCGCTGACAGGTGCCCCCTCTGCCTGCACACGCATGGCGCAAGCAGCTCACGGCTGAGGGAGAGGGGCGGCGTACTGGCCGGTTCTGGTAGAAATGCTGCTTCGCAATCCTCTGATTCCAGCCGTGAACACACCATACTGAGCCTGGGGAAGTCTCACCTCCCCGCTCATCTCACTCAATTACGTCAGTCTCTTGAGGGGGGCCACTGTCCCACTGCCGAGTAAGGCTAGTCCCAAGGAGCCCGCAACGGCCTTTGCTCGGTTGCACGAGTCTCTTTCCAGCAGCCGGAGATGGCAGAAACTCCAGTTATTGTGCTCGGAACGGGCGTATTTATGGCTTTATGCTTCAAACCCACAAGGCAACAGCACACGGCAGCTCCACCTGTGGGCTTGGAAAGGCTTTTCCATGGACACAGCAGCAGTCCCCCCCTCTTGCGATGGGGGGGGGGAAGAAGAGGGAACTGTGGGGTGGGGGCAGAGCCCTGACGTGGGGAGGCACAGGTGGTGGTAATGGCTGTTTCAGGTGTTTTCCATGTTCTCTTGGCTCCCCTGGGGATGCTCCAGGAGGCCAAGGGCAACCGTCCTCCAGAGCTCTTTAGTCCCCTGAACATACTGGATTTCGCCCAGTCCGTGCAGGGAAAGGAAAGGCAGGAGGGGGAGAAAGAGAGAGGGGTTAGTACAAGAAATACCAGAGTGAGTCAGGTAACAGGGGCCAGAGCAAGAGGGGAGCTTCCATGCCAGGCACAGGAAATACCAGAACAGGCTGGGGTCAGAGCAGCGCCAGTCCTGCGTTAGCGGAAGCAGCCGAGTGCTGGTAATGCCCACGCCAGACGAGGGCGGGCCGCTCAGACCCCTCCAAACATGCCAGGTAAGCGAGTTATTCCGGACCAACGCTCTCAGGCAGCATGCGGGAGGGGGCACTCAGCAGGGAGGGGAAGAGGCGGCAGGGGCCAGCTTCCCACGGTGATAATGGAGCAGCTCACATGCACCCACCATAGTGTCACTACCCGTTTACTCCAAAGCTGCTAGGCCTGACTCCCTTGCTGCAGACAGCGGCCCCGCTGTAAGCAGGCTGCAGGGGTAGCCGACTTCCCGTGTCAAACACCAGCTGTTCTATGGGCTGTGCTGGGAAGAGGGGAATAGACACTGGAGGCTCCATCGTGCTTCCTGGCAGCTGGGCATGATCAGCGCTCCCCTTCTGGCAGACACCATGGGGCGTGGAAGGAGCAAGATGGGCAGTTAGGGAAGCCAGGCTGCTCCCGCTGAATCCCCAGCCCTTGTCGCTGAGTAACAGCGCCGAGGCAACGCTCCGTTCTCCTCAAAGCACTTAGCACTGGACTCGCCTGCGCCTCGGGCGCGCCAAGGAGGCGTTCCAGGTGACGGAGGCACAGAAGGGGGAGGTGGCTTAGTCACAAGGTGCGTCAGGATTACCAATCCGTTCTGGGCACCCAGCCCTGTGGTCACACCTTCCCTGGCAGCGGCTAAACACTACCACTGCAATTCCTCCTCTTTCAGTCACCCATCGCAGCTTAAAACCCGACTGCCGTAACCCATCAGCATGGGCATCCCAGGGCCCTCCAGACTCAGCCGGATCCACACTGCTCTCACGCTCTGCTAACAATCGGCACGAAGCAAAAGCAACGCCCGGCAGCTCTCAGCCGAGCGCACCCCGCTCTGCCTGCGCCCAGTCTGCAACGAAAGCTTACGCGAACCCGCTGCAAGGCTGGGGGTAAATGCCCCTACTCCCGCCGGGCCCCCTCAGGGCACCTGGCACACACTCCGCACCCACTGGGGCAGCTAGGGCTCCGTGGACAGAGCAAATCATGCAGTGAGAAGGAGTCGGGCCATGGCCTGGGGAGAGGAGACGAACATGCTCTCTTACCAGCTAGCCCTCAGAAAGCAGGGCTAACATCCAGAGAGGGGGAGTTAGATCCCATCAGGCTGTGCAGGAAATGGCAAAGTCTTGGCAGGCATCCTCCTGGGGAAGACACCAGAGATTATGCTCGGGAGGGATGGTCAGGCTGGGCTGGAGAGGAAGCCCTGCGTTAGGCCATGCTCAGATTCTGGGACGGCACTGGACTGGGCTTGACAGCGAGCGGGGCAGGAGAAGGGGGCTTAACCGAAGGCCTCTGAAGGAAGATGCAGTTTGACCTGTCACATCTCAGCAGCTGCAAGCCTGAGAAACCAGAGGGGCAGGCCATGCTGCGGGGCTGGCAGCTGTGCATACCTTCCCGCCTGCTCCTGCTGGGAGGATCGCAGAGGTCAGGCAAGCCTTGCCGCTGGAAGAAGCCATCTGACCTTCACTGGACGGACAGACACCCATTACTCACCCCACTGCAGAAGCTGAGGGACATGCCTCCGAACCCAGAAAAGGAAACACAAACCCCCAAACAGTTAACTCTTTAAAACAGAACTTTATTACAGCAAGTAACAAGAGAAACAGGTTCGAACAGAAGTGTAAGTCCCCACCCAGGACTCCTGTAGGAGGCAGCTCAGTTTTCCTGCCCTTCCCACTAAAAGCTGCAGCCTCTTCGGGTGCAGCTTTCCTGGCCCTCCCCACAGCATCTGCTAGTCCTACCCCTACACAGGCAACGAAATTCTGCGCCGGGGCCAGGGCGAGCCCGTGCCGTTGTGTTAGGAACGCCGGCTATCTGAACAAGGGGAACGGGAACCGCCAGGCCGCATGCTCTAGGGAAGAGGGGCCTTAGGGGGTTATTGTCCAGAAACAGCCATGGCTGTTGTGGCCAGGCACACATGCACCAGCCTTGCGTGCCCATCGGGCAGCGCGCACAGCGGCAGAGCGAGCTTGCCTCACCCCCAAGCTTCAGGGGTTACCCCCAGGGCTGACCAACCGTTCTTTGTCTCAGCAGCCAGCAGCAGGGCCACTAACACTGGTGTGGGCGGGAGGCTACTCCACTAATGTCAGGGGCTGGCTCCGGACCAGTCGCCCTGCTGGAAGGGGACTGAGACCAGCATGGGGAGCCCAGCCCGACATACAATTTAACAAGGCAGCAGCCCCACACCCCCGGCTACGCCAGATCAACCCACTGACAGCAGCAGCCGCCGCCATGCCCCGTCCCTCCTGAGCACCGAGATCTCTGCACAGAGCCCGAAACGTGAAGCAAGAGGAATACTGACGGGATGGAAGATTTTCAAATCTCCAAAAAGGAATGGTCTGAGCGCGCCACAGATTCTTCTCAGTGAAGGCTTCTCTTAAAGCCCCACCTAAAGCCACAGCAGCATGTAAATGCAGGCCCCAGCTCCAGGCCGTGGGCGGTGGAGGGTCGGGGCCCAGCTCCGGCACTGCTCTTTGAACGCTGGGATTTGACACACTACACAAGTGCCAAAAACCAGGGAGGAAGGAAGCACATGGAAAGTGAGAACACCACACTGGATGGGGGGTGGGGGGCGGGGGGCATTTAAACACTGTCCCACGGCTCAGCAGACTGACTCACAGGGGCGGGAGAGGCTGCCAGCCCCCTCCACAGCACCCATGTCCTCCTTATGTCGGGCCAGTCTCTGCTAGCTTGCTGTCAGTCACAATGGGCGAGGCAAAACACAGGGCAATACCTTTGCGCCAAGCTGCCCCAAGAGGCACTGACTAGTGAGAAAAGCACAGGTGAGACGGACAAACGGGCTTGGCAGCGGGTGCACACTGCAATGCCGTGTGGCCGAGCCCAGAAGAAACGCTGCACACCTCTAATCTGGTGCCAGGAGTAGGTACCGCGCGATCCAACCCGACATATAAAAAAACATTACTTAGAAAAAACATCTACAAAATTGTGCAAAAATACCCAGCAGCTTTTAATAACCACACTTCAAGTATTGCTCATGTGTCTGTAACTCTCCGCTACACGCTCGCCAGCAAGAGTAACCCCCGGCAGAGCAGCGAACACCTGGGAAGGAACCACACCAGCAGGGATGGCGCATCCCGGAATAGCCACCCTCAGGCAAAAACTCAGAGGAATCATTGCTGGAGAGCCAGCAGGCGAGCCCATTCACTCTCCTACTGGCCAGGAATCCAAACCCGGAGCAGGCTAACACACACCAGCTCCCGAGCCACCCAACGTGGGCGTATGGTGCCTCTCCCCCGCGTCCATCCTGAGGCTGGCATGAACGCGCTTTTCACATGGAGCCCACTCCCCCTCAGCCACCCAGGGCTGGGCGGGCGTCCCACAGGTGACCACTAAAAGGCAACATCTCCCAAGATGCCTGACAGCCAGTGCAGGGAGCTCGCTCGGCCATGCCCTGGTCTCTGCGGCTGCTTACCGGCTAACATGGCTGCACCCCAAGGAAGGGTTGGACAGCACCTTCCTCTGTGACCCAGCACTGAACACCAACCGTGATGGCACACCCACTTTCCTACCTACGCTCATTGTCCATAGGGCTCTGGACCCTCGCAGCAGTCCCCAGGACCTGGGAAAGAGAATGCCATCCCAGCCAGCCAGCCTCCATTCTACAAAGCACCAGTGCGGCTGGGAAAGTGATGCCCAGGTGGGACCGTGCTTTACACAGACACACAACGCGGCCCCTCGCTCTGCTGGAGCAGAAGCGCTATAGGGAGACCTGGCTTTCAGCCTTCGTCACCCCCCAGCCCCAATCCCCAACGCGGCCCAGGAGGTGGGATGTGTGTCCACCTTCCTGCCCGCAGCGCCCTCTGTGCATCCCTGCGGGGCATGTGGCAGCTCTCTGGAACGGACACTCCAAGCTTGGATGATTTGAGACGTTGGGGTTTCCCAACCAGCCTTTCTTGCTTCCCAGCTGTGGTTGGAGTCCCTCTCCCCAGGGATGGCTGAGGTCCTGCTCAGCGTCAGGCTGTAGCAGGTGGAAGTCCAGGTAAGCCAGCTCACAGTGAAACCAAACATAAATAAACAGAAAGGCAGCGCTGGGCTGAGTCCTTGGCAGCTCTGCCCCACAGGGCTGTCCTGCCTGAGCTCAGGGAGATGAGAACAGGGGACGGTGCTGGCTGGAGCGAGGCACCGGACTACATCACAGCCCTGCTAGGGGACGTCTCCTACCATGCTGGTGTCAGTCTTGGCTCCAAAGGAGGGGATTTCACTCTTGGGACTGGACGGGGTCCCGGCCTCAGGCTGGATAAATCCTCTTCTGTCTATTAAACTAGAAAACAAGAAGGTGGAGAGGGGAGGGATTAACACACCTGAATGTCCCGGTGTCACTTCATTACACTTACACTGGGTTAGTATTTCTGGGGTGCACCCAGCAAGTTCAAATTGGTTCCTTCCAGCAAAAGAAACACTGGCTCAAAGCACTGAAGCATTCAACTGGCTGAGAGCTACGAAACCTGGGTAGGGGTCAAACTCCCGACAGCCCAACACAAGAGAGGATTTTAAATCTGTCCGACTGCGCCCTCTTGTGACTAAACCATGGTAGTTTTATTTTTCCAATTCATAGCTGCTAAGGCCTGCTTAACTATCTGAGCTCCGCAGATGGAAGGCGTTAGGCAGGACAGACCCAACAGGGCTTTTGGAAAGTTACAAACCAGATTTCAGTTTTAAAAATATCGTTTCATGAAATGAAAGAGCAAACACCACCCGGAGGTGGGAGCTCAGTGGTCTATTTTCATTGTCTCTTCAGTGAAACACAAGAAGGAAATCAGCAGACATGAAGCCAAGTCAGAGAGATGTTTGGCATTATTCTTTGATAGGATAACAAGTCTTGTGGATAAGGGAGATGCGGTGTACGTGGTAATACCTAAACTTTAGTAAGACATTGGATAGTCTCACACGATCTTCTTATCAATAAACTAGGCAAATACAACTTAGATGGGGCTACTAGAAGGTGGGTGCATGACTGGCTGAATAACCGTTCTCAGAGAGTAGTTATTAACGGTTCACAGTCATGCTGGAAGGGCATAACAAGTGGGGTTCCACAGGGGTCTGTTTTGGGACTGGTTCAATATCTTCATCAACAATTTAGATATTGGCATAGAGAGTACACTTATTAAGTTTGCAGATGACAAGCTGGGAGGGGTTGCAAGTGCTTTGGAGGATAGGGCCATAATTCAAAATGATCTGGACAAACTGGAGAAATGGTCTGAAGTAAATAGGATGCAGTTTAATAAGGACAAATGCAAAGTGCTCCATTTAGAAAGGAACAATCAGTTTCACATACACAGAATGGGAAGTGACTATCTAGGAAGGAGTACTGCAGAAATGGATCTAGGTCAGAGTAGACCACAAGCTAAATATGAACCAACAGTGTGACGCTGTTGCAAAAAAAGCAAACATAATTCTGGGCTGCATTAACAGGAGTGTTGTGAGCAAGACACGAGAAGTCATTCTTCCACTCTACTCTGCGCTGATTAGTTCTCAATTAGACTACTGTGTCAAGTTCTGGGCACCACATTTCAAGAAAGATGTGGAGAAATTGGAGAAGGTCCAGAGAAGAACAACAAGAATGATTAAAGGTCTAGAAAACATGACCGACTGAAGGAATTGGGCTTGTTTAGTTTGGAAAGGAAAAGACTGAGAGGAAACATGATAGCACTCTTCAAGTATCTAAAAGTGTGTTACAAGGAGGAGGGAGAAAAATTGTTCTCCTTGGCCTCTGAGGATAGGACAAGAAGCAAGGGGCTTAAACTGCAGCAAGGGAGGAGACGTCCCCTAGCAGGGCTGTGATGTAGTCCGGTGCCTCGCTCCAGCCAGCACCGTCCCCTGTTCTCATCTCCCTGAGCTCAGGCAGGACAGCCCTGTGGGGCAGAGCTGCCAAGGACTCAGCCCAGTGTTGCCTTTCTGTTTATTTATGTTTGGTTTCACTGAGGGCAGTGTTTAATCACTCTGACAGTTGCCCAGGGAGGCTGTGGAATCTCCATCCCTGGAGATATTTAAGAGCAGGTTAAACAGACATCTATCAGGGATGGTCTAGATGGTGCTGGGTCCTGCCATGAGGGCAGGGGACTGGACTTGATGACCTCTCAAGGTCCCTCCCAGTTCTAGTGTGCTAGGATTCTAGGATTATTCCTGCTTTAACGACAGCAGCAGATAACTGGCATGGAAGGGAATTTGTCAGGATCAAAGCGAATAGGAAATGTCTGTGTCCTTTTAAGGACAGAGCCTCCAAATCGCCCGACTCGGGACAGCATTGGCCACTTGCCAGAAGTCTAAGGTTTCTATAACAAGTGATGACTAGGGATGTTAGCTATTTGGTAATGTAATAGTTGTGTAACCACATGAAACCTTAGTTCAATGGTACCTGGAAGCAGGGCTGGCAGCTAGTGCATTCCTGGCCCCCCGCCACCCCACACTGCTCCCTGCACAGACCAGCTGCTTGCTGCCCCACAGCAGCGCGGGATGCAGAGCAGCCTCTGTCCGTGGGGTGTTCAGGCCTACCGCAAACAGAGGCTGCTTTGTGGCAGGCCTCCCCGCCCCCCCCCCCCGCCCGC